AAAATTCGTGAGAAGCAGAAGGAGCACCCAGAGTTGGTAAAAATCATTCAAGACATTGAGGAAGGAAAAGAAAGCCCATTTGAAATGGTAGATGGCATGTTGAAGATTAATGGAAGAGCATGTGTTCCTAATGTTGATAACTTGAGGAAAGAGATCCTAGATGAAGCTCATTCTTCTGCTTATGCTATGCACCCAGGAGCAACTAAAATTTATCACACGATCAAACCATATTTTTGGTGGCGTGGGATGAAAAAGGAAGCGGCTGAACATGTTTTAACATGTCTAGTATGTCAGAAAGTTAAGGCAGAACATCAAGCTCCTGTGGGAAAACTGCAACCACTTCCAATTCCAGAATGGAAGTGGGAAAGAATCACAATGGATTTTGTATATGGTCTCCCATCATCAAGGGGAAAGGATGCAGTATGGGTTATTGTGGACCGACTAACCAAATCGGCTCACTTTTTACCCATTAGATGGAAACCATCACTGGAGACCTTGTCTCAACTATATATTAAGGAGATCGTCAGATTGCATGGTGTGCCAATTTCTATTGTCTCTGATCGAGACCCGAGCTTCACATCTCGGTTTTGGCAAAGTTTACATGATGCCTTGGGAACTAAACTGCATTTTACCTCAGCTTATCATCCTCAAACAGATGGGCAGAGTGAACGAACCATCCTTACCTTAGAGGAGTTACTTCGATCATGTGTAATGCAATGGGAGGAATCATGGATTGACCATTTGCCCTTAATTGAGTTTGCTTACAACAATCAGTACCATAGTAGTTTGGGTGTTCCACCATATGAAGCACTTTATGGGAGAAAATGTAGAACACCATTATGTTGGGATGTAGAAGGAGCAAGGCAAATCTCAGGGCCAGAGATAGTTCAGATCACAGTTGATAAGGTCAAGGAAATCAGGGAGCGTATGAGGGTGGCTCAAGATCGACAGAAAGTTTATGTTGACACGAATAGGCGTGAAGTTCATTTCGAAGTGGGTGAGAAAGTATTTCTCAAAGTGTCACCATGGAAAGGGGTGATGAGATTTGGTAAGAAAGGAAAGCTTGCACCTCGATATATTGGGCCATATGAAACCACAGAGAAGATTGGACCCGTGGCATATAAACTAGCATTGCCTCCAGAGCTATCCCAAATCCACAATGTATTTCATGTTAGTATGCTGAAGAGGTACAAAGTGGATCCTTCCCATGTTATACAACCAGAAGAGATCGAGTTGGGTTCAGATTTGACTTTTGAGGAGGTTCCAGTTGAGATTGTTGATTTTCAGATTAAGAATCTTCGTAGGAAGGAAATCCCAATGTTGAAAGTGGTTTGGAGAAATCAAGAAAGTGAGAGTGCTACCTGGGAAACTGAAGCAAGTATGCGAGAGAAGTACCCTGAGTTGGTAGCAACCTACTTTGCAGGTTAACAGTTTTGCCTAATAAGATATGTTTTGAACTTGCTGATGTGCTTTTGTTGTGATAGCCCAGTATAGGTTTTTGAAACCTAAACATGGGAACTTGAGGTGTTATGTGTTACTTTCTATGTTATGAATTGCCTAACCTAAGAGTTAGGTAATGACTTTATGTATGATAGACCATGTTAAGGGTTAGTAAGAGGAGTTAGAGTACGACTCAAGGTTAGATTTCGGGGACGAAATCTTTTAAGGAGGGGAGAATTGTAACATCCCGTTTTGGCTAAAATCGTATTTCGATCGCTAGAAAGTTCGCGATTTAAAATCGAGCATTTAGACACTATTTCGACGAAAATCGGATTATCGATCGGATAAGTATACGTATTAATTATATATATATTAAGCGGCCGACATATATATTAAATCCCCCACCCCACTCGTCCATTATCACCTCTTCCCTTCCGTTACAATATTATTGCTGGACGGAGAAGCAGAGCCGCACGCAGAGCTCCGGAGAAAAACTTTGATAGCTCGATTCTTGAGCTACAGTGATCCAAAAATCTCGTAAGTAAAGCCTAATTCATCTATTCATCGTGATTTATCGATTTAGAGCTTTAAAACGAGTTTTTGGTTCAGGAATTTCTTGAATTCCCGATCTGCCAAATTAGGGTTTCGGAGTATCCGGAAGCCGGATTGAGCCCAAATTTCATATACGAGCTTCCTACAGCGAGGTAATCAATCCTCTAGTTCTAACCTCTGAATTTTGGCAATTATTTAGGCCAGGGTCCAAACCGCTGAATTTAGCTCCGGCCAGGGTTTGATGTGTTTTTATCGAGAATTAAACCCGGAGCCTAGAACTAATATTGACGGGGATACTGCAGGGGATATTAGGACGGTCTCGGATTTTAATTCGGGGTTCGTTCGAGAAATTGACGTTTTAGTACGGGAAGGTTAAACCGGTGTTTGAACGACCAGAACTGGTGAGGGATTAGCACGGCATACCGGGTTTGTCGTATCACGATAATTATATTGATGCTTAGAATTGACCTAGGTGAACTAGAATGGCATGATCAGGGGTGTATGGAATTTTGTGCTATATGATGAACCCTAGACTGCTGTATGATATTATTGACTTGCCCTAATCGATATGAACCTTGTTTATGTGGATGATTGCCTACATGTTGCCATTTGTGGCTTAACTGTTGATATGACTTTATGGCTGTTCGATAAGGGTTTTTGACATGGTGTGATATTATGGTTGTATTTGGATCCATAAGTGGGGAAATAAACTTCCCAAGGTGATATTATGATGTTTTAAGGAGGATGACTTGCACGAGGGTTTATCCCGAGGAAGTGCAATTATACGACTCCTGATTTACCTATGTTGAGCCAATTGTGGCCTGGTCAAGTACATGTGCAAGTAACGAATTATGATTAAGCAAGATGAGATATGAATCATGTATAAGGATACCGAATATGAGTGTTGTGGTCTCACGGTCAACTACATAGTAATTAGGGCTCCCTATGCTATTACTCTATTATGATATGTATGATAGTCACACCTCTCATGTGGTGGTGACTGAAGAATTCTTATGAGATATGACCACACCCAGAGCGGTGTCGGGGTATGACTACACCCATAGTGGTGTGGGGTATGTATGACCACATCCGACGGGATGTTGGGGTATGTATGACTACATCCGACGGGATGTGGGGTATGTTTCCCGGGAGAGTTATTAGCATGGGAGTAGCCAGGCGCCTGTAAGTAAAACATGATAAGATGCATATGCATAAGTCAAGGTGGTTGAGTCTTTTGCCTATTGGGATATGAGGACGGCTGAGGTCCGATCCTAGTATTTTGGCTTGATTGTTAGATGTATGATAGGGGTATGCTCTGTTATGAACTCACTCAGCTATGATTATCTCACTCAGCTATGAGCTGACCCTCTTTTATTCTTCTTCTCTGCTTATGCTATGTGTAAGCAGATCATCATCAGCAGCAGTAGATAGGTGTATAGGTGGGAGCTGAGCTAGAGTTGAAGCCAGGATGAGGTATGGTCTTCAACTATTCTGTGCTTGGACTACTACTCGGGATTTTGGCCAGTGATCCACACCTTTTTGTAAAAAAATGTTTTCAGAACGTTTTTCATGTGCATACTAGCTTCTGATGTAGTGTGAGATATCCACAGGTGTGGAAAGTTGATGATATGTGTATATTTGTGTAACTGTGTAAGTTGTGACGATTATGGTATGTATAAGTATGGTATGCAGTTGTGTAGTATGAAACTGTGACTATGGATATGAGAAGCAATGTATATGGTTGTGGGTGTATGTCTATGTACACGGATTTATAGTATGAGATAAATTATTTTGCAGGTTTTAGTTACAAGAACTGTTAGCCCACTACGCGAGTAATTCATGTCGAAATTTTATTTAGGTAAATTTTGATAATTAATGTAACACCCGAGATTAATTCCGCTGCAATTGTATGAACAATATGATTAGACAAAACGTATAGGGTAGGGTGTTACAATTAAGGTCAAACTCTGTTATTCCTAGGTCGACCTATCCAGCAGGAAAATAACAATTAACAACAAAAAGTAAGTTCAAAATTAAACCGAAAAAAGGATAGGTCGACCAGATATATGGCGCGGTCGACCTTTTCAAGCACAACATAGTCATACAATCAAAGCCAAAGTCGACATTCAGGTTGAATAACCAAAAAAACAGGAACGGTCGACCTTGAAACAATTCAGGTCGACCAATTGGGTTACCTCGCAAGTATAGAAATCCAAGTGTTGTGGCCTAAATTCAAATACGCAGAATTGTCTCGTCAGGTTGACCTGGTTGACGTCACGGTCGACCGAATGGAATTCTGCACCCAACAATATATCAAATTAGCCGGTAGAAATCACGCATTAGAAAAGAAGATGACGAATGGTACATTAGGTCGACCTCACCTTAGACCTGGTCGACCACTTACAACGCGTACAACAGCAACCGTGAACGATCTTCTTCACAAAGGCTCTTAATCGGAAGAAACCTAATTCAGACTTGGAGGCGTTGAAAGGGACTTATATTCGTATTTATAGAGATTTAGGACGTCAATGGGTCGACCCAATTCGTTTCCTTGTCCAATTGTGGAACCTTTCTGGTGTTGGAATCCATATCCAATACGGATACAGTGTGAATGCGGTCGACCTCTTCATAATGCGATCGACCTGTTAGGTGCACAAGGGTCGGCCTATGAGATATTTGGGTCGACCTTTCATTCTGTTAGACCACCAAAGCGGTCGACCGTATTATGTAAGAGGTCGACCGCGTCTCGGAACCCCACATACGTGAATTAGTCCATTCGGTCGACCGCATGTTGGATTAGGTCGACCGAAAAGTCCATGTCACGGTGACATGCATATAACCGTAGCAAAATCCTAATAATTAAACTACGTACGTTAGCCACGCCTTGCTATCCCTCTCTATAAATTGTGAGCTCCGATCCCCATTCCCCCATCCATCCACAACGACAACCGTTCCCCCCCCCCCCCCCCCCCCCCCATTCCAATGGCAGGCCTCCCTCTCTGCCGCCGTGGTATTCATCTCACTACTCGCCTCCACGTCAACAGCCTCCTCCAGTAGATTCCTCTCCGCCGCCGCCGCGACGACCAACACGGAGTTCATACGTACATCCTGCAGCGCCACAACATACCCTAAGCTATGCTACAGCTCCCTCGCCGTCCACGCTTCCAAAATCCAGACCAGCGCCAGGCTTTTGGTCTCCACCGCCCTCGACATCACCTTATCCTCCCCCAAGTCAACCTCCGCCGCCATGGTCAAGCTCTCCCGCACCCACGGCATCAGTCCCAGGGAGGCGGCGGCGATGCGCGACTGCACGGAGGAGCTGGCTGACTCCGTCGACCAGATCAGCCGGTCCATCGACGAGATGGCGGCGGCTCGGATTTCGTGATGATGATCAGCAACGTGCAGACGTGGGTCAGTGCGGCGTTGACGGACGAGAGCACGTGCGACGACGGGTTCGCCGGGAAAGAGATGAACGGAGTGATGAAGGCGGTGGTGAGAGGGAAGGTCGAAAAGGTTGCTCATCTCACCAGCAACGCATTGGCCCTCATCAACGCCTACGCTGCTCTTCGTCACTAGATTATTATATTTACAGTTTCTGATGAATAGTTTTGCGTTGGTTAGCAAGTGAAGAGTGTGGTGTAGTTTGTCTTGTAGTCCGATTAACTCTTTTAATCTCTATCTAAATAAAACAGTATCCCCATTAGAAGAAGGAAAAGAAAAAAAAATTAAGTATTGGACAACTCCTAAAAGCACTGAATTGAGTAAATGCAATTTCCTTGCTTAAGTCAGTTTCTTTGCTCTCCATGACTTTATCCGCTTGGTAATCTTGTCAACCAGAATGTCACTTTCCTTTGAGAACAACTTGCTTGTCATCAAAGGCAAGCTCAAGTATCTGATTGGTAATTCACAGCTTCCTGAAATCCATAGAGTAATAAAGCATTGCTTTTGTATTTAATGGACTATCCACCAAAGTAAATTTCACACTTAGCAGGGTTACGCTTAGAGCCCAACAACTGATAAAATTCTTGCAGAACCGTATTGGCCTGAAGAATTGCTTGAGCAGATCCATTAGTAAAAACAAATATATCATCTGCAAAGCACATGTGATTTAAAGCAATTCTCTGATACTGAGGATGCAAAGGAATTAACCCCGTTTGGCTAGCAGACATCAACATAGTAGACAATCCTTCCATTGCTATGGTAAAGAGATATGGAGACAAAGGGTCACCCTGACGGACTCCCTTCTTTGCCCTAAAGAAACCACGGAGGCTGCCATTTATATTTATACTGTAAAGAGCAGTTTATATACAACTCCTGATCCACTTCAAACTCTCAGGGAAACCCATGGCATTCATCATAAGAAAGAGATACTTCCAATTGACAGAATCGAAAGCCTTCATAATGGCTATCTTAATTGCACAACGTGAAGAAAACCCAATCCTGTTATGTCCACTGACCAACTCGTGTGCTAGGAGTATATTATCCATAATGCTTCTCCCTTTGACGAAACTTGTATGAGTATTACTGATCCCTTTGTCAGGTGATCCTGAAGTGGTTATTCGACAACTGGACCGTAGAAAAATGGAAGATTCGATAGGCGACTCACTGCTTCAAGAGTGTCATCGGCTCCTAGTTTCATGCTCTCTTTGTATAGTTTTTAGTGTGGTTCTGCGGACTGCCAACTGAGCTGCCCATAGAGTGGCACCTAAAGCTCTGTTGTTGTCCTCTTTAGAGGTAGCGTCCTTTGATTTTGTAGGGTGGCTTCACTAAATGTTACTTTGGGTGGGATTTTGGGTAGAGGTTTCTAACAATTTTTCTCATGTCATTACTTGGGGGAAAAAAATAACACGTTGTGAAACGTTACTGATTTTGTACTAGTTAATTACATTGGGTGAGACAAAGAAAAATACAGTTGAGGAAGATCAAACTTAATATGATCAACTAAATACATCTTTGATCTATCACACCAAGCAATAAGCTCACAGACCGTTTGGTATCAAATGAATTACCATGTAGAATTCATTGTCAAATGAAATCTTGTGTTTGGTATGTTATATCCAAATCTTTAAAATAGAATGAATTGTCGTGTAGAATTCATTTTCAAATGAATTCATGTGTTTGGTATTCATATGTATAAGTAATTTAGTTAATAAAAGAGGATAATTATATCATTCTATTAAAATTAGTAAATACTTGTGGAATTCATTTGAAACTTCCATCTCAATTCCTCGAAATTGCTATAACTAGTTACAATTCCACAGCATTCAAAATTTAGAATTAAAAAATGAATTCTGTTAAATACCAAATACAAAAATATTTTATTTCGAAATGAATTCCTCAAAACTTATGGAATTCATTTACACGGTTAATAGTGTGCTAGTTATCCAGACTTGTTAAATACATGCATGTTCAAGTTATATGGGGGTGGTCCCACAACCTTCCTCGACCGGGTCGGACTCTCCATTGGACGCTAACCCCACACCTGATCCGGGCCTACTACTAATCCAATCAATAGTACCTTTGGGCCAGGATCCAATCACTTTAGCCATGACCAACCCAACTAATTCCAGATATTTGTTTCGTCTTCCCAACTAATTCCAGATATTTGTTAAGTGAGCTAAGTCCTAACCATAGCACCAAAATCCGGCCGTCCAGGCGTCCACATGACCGATATGAAAATTAACTTGTAGCCTCATTTACTGAAAATAAACACCCAACTAATTAAACCAACTCATTTATATACAGCTTATAAATAAATATCAATGTATCAATGCACTAAGCAACCCATTAATACCTTACAGTTTCTTGACTGCTTCATGGACGATTAGCTACCCAATTACTAACTAGAAATCATGGATTTGTCAAAAATGCAATAAGATCATCAAGGATTGAAAAAATTACACAAACTTATCACGTGTCTACTTGTCAAAGCCGTGGAATCAAAATGACGAGCACGAAACAGACAAACTAGAATACGAATCGATACATTTATAATTTTTCTTCGGTATGTAACTCCTCATCGTGAAAGTGATATTCACTTATTCATTGATTTGACTCTTAACTGATTAGATCAAGAGGAGGAGAGACGTACGTTGCTAATTGTGTACAATTTACATATTATCATACAAGGACAAATACAGTTGAGGAAGATATTTTAGTTGACAAAACTTGCTAAATACATACATGTTCAAATTTATTAATGGAAAAGGATAATGGACATATGGGGTGATCAGTCCAATACTTCTTTCTTTCATTTTTTCTTAGAGAAGGGTCCAATTGGTTAACATACTCACCCACATCAAATAGGTCTGCTGATATATCCAACACCAACAGTATCCTTTTCCGATTGGTCAGAAAGTTCTGATTGGTCGTTTTTCTAACTACATTTCATCCAAAAACTTATGATATTTTCAATAATAGTCGCTTTTAGACTAGAACTTTGATTATTTTCTTATTAAACATGGACCTTAATCAAATCTAATTTTTTTTCATTTTGGTTGAAATTTACTAAAATATTATAAATTTTTAAGTAACTAAATATAGACTCAAAAACCCAAACTGTTCCTCTAGCTAGTCCTTGTTGGGATGACAATTACACCTCAATTGTTTTTTTTCAGATGAGGGTAATATCTACTGTTAGACGACCTTATATAAGGAATTTTAATTTGAGATCATCGGGATGAATACCAATAATAGATCCTTTGTACGCCTTCCTAAATCGATGGAAACCCCATCTTTAACCTAATCAACGATGAAGAATATTGTACTCATCGGATGTGTATGAATAGGGCGGAAAATGAACCAAGCCGCTCGTGAGTAATTCGACGTTCGAATCGGAAAAAACTTGTTCGACACTTGACTCGTTATTTAACAAGTCGGCTCGCGAGATGGCTTGTTAGTGAACGAGCCAACTTTGAGCTAGACCATGCTCAGCTTGATAAGCTCGTGAGCTAGCTAGGCTCGGTGGCTTGTTGAGCTAAGCTCACAAGCTGGCTTGTTTAGAGCTTGTGAAAGGATTAATTACTCACCTGAATATGAACATTATCTTGCGAATACGAATGTTTTAGGAAGGTAGCTGTTATTTTTAGTTTCTAGTCTTCTTTTCATCATTTAACTTCTTATGTGTACACATTTTTAAGTAAAAATGATTTAAAATCGAGCTTATCTTGAGCCGAGCTTGTACTCAGCTTGACAAGTTGTGTGAATGAGCATTAACCAAGCTCTACTGAGTCGAGCTCGAGTTGGATTATTTTAATCAAGCCGAGCTTGAGTTCGAGCAGGATTATCAAAATTCGAGTTCGGGCTGAGCTCGAGCCGAAACATTTATAAACGAGCCGAACTCAAGCTAAGCAAGAACTCATCTCGGCTCGTTTGCAGCCTAGGTATGAAAGAATAAAATGAAAACAATGAATTTAGGGCACAAAATTTTTAAAAAGATTTTTATTTGTCACTCATGATTTTACTATTTATGATGGTAATAAATCATAATTTGAGACGGTAAATAACAGATGTGACGAAAAATGTATTATGCTGAAAATAGTTTAGTACAGCTTTCTCCAACTTACCATTTTAGTTTATATATTATGCATGCCCTATCAACATTATATACTAATAGTAATACGCTAATAACCCACCTCCGACCCTATAAATTGTGAGCCTTCGTTTCCCCCATCTTTACCATCACAACCATAATTCCAAGTCCAACTCAGTTTTTTCTTTCATACACCCAATTGCCAATGGCTTCCTCCTCCGCCGCCGCTTTCCTCACCACCGTAGTAGTCATCTCACTGCTCGCCTCCACGTCATCCGCCTCCAGCAGACCCCTCTCCGCCGCCGCCGCCGGCGCAACGACCAACACGGAGTTCATCCGCACGTCCTGCATCGCCACCACGTACCCTCAGCTGTGCTACAACTCCCTCTCCGCCCACGCCACCAAAATCCAGACCAGCGCCAAGCTCCTCGCCTCCACCGCCCTCGACGTCACCCTAGCGTCAGCGAAGTCCACCACCGCCGCCATGGTCAACCTCCAACTGTCCCACGGCATCAGCCCCCGCGACTCCGCGGCGATGCGCGACTGCGTGGAGGAGCTGGGGGACTCCGTCGGCCAGATCCGACAGTCCATCGACGAGATGCATGCCTCCAAGGGCGGCGCGGATTTCGAGGTGATGATCAGCGACGTCCAGACGTGGGTCAGCGCGGCGTTGACCGACGAGACCACGTGTAACGACGGGTTTGCCGGGAAGGGCACGGCGGCCGCCGGAGAGATGAAGACGGCGGTGAGAGGGAAGATTGAGACGATTGGTCAGCTCACCAGCAACGCCTTGGCTCTCATCAACGCCTATGCCACTCTCCATCACTAGACTAATTATATATATTTTACACTTCGTGATAATTAGTTGTTTGCGAGTTTACTAGATGTTGGCTAGCTAGTGATGATCTGTTAGTAAGTGAAAAAGTGTGCGAGTTTTCTGGGCATGTACGTAACGTGTACTTTAAGAAAAAAAGTTACAATGGTAATTCAATACCGTTAAGAGTTTATGGGTCTAGTAAGTCATGCATGTACAATCTGATAGGGGTGGCTATATGATCCGGTCCGGTTAAATTGGTCCAAATTGATCCGGTTCAGTCCGGTTTTTTTGAAAATATAAGGACCAAGCATTGGATTGGATACAGTACGGTCTTGATCCGGTCCGGTCTTGAACCGGTCCTGTCCCAATTCGATCTTGATTTTATATTGAGTTTGTGGGGATTTGAGTGGCCTAAGGCCTGAAAGGGTGAGGAGTTGGTTAAGTTTTGTACTAAGTGTAAAGGTTTGTGACCGTTTATGCAAATTACCCTTAAGTTTTGGGTGTTGAGCTATCTTATCAGGTCTTTATCCAGTTTTAGCTCCGGTCCCGAACGGTTTTTACCTCAAATTTAAGCCCAAAGATTGGATTGAATTATTTATTACCTGATCCCGGTCCAGATTATACGATCCAATTTCGGATAAAACAAAAAACCTGAACCAAATAGTCAGACCTACAATCTGACCGCCATCAACGGTCTCAAAGGAATTATGGATTTGTTTTTTGGGAAAAAGAACACGGATGGATATATAAAATTTCATACAAAATCTTCTCTAACAATTTAGATTATTGATCAGACTAGTATAAATAATAGTAAAGAAAAAAGAAATGACATAAACACTTATATAAAAAAATTTCAATAATTCAAGTTATTGGAATTAAAAAAATGTGTTGGTTAACAGAGATTAGGGGAGTTCGGGTTGGGTTTGGTTATCCAAACCAAAATCCGGAAAAAACCGAAAACCCGAAACCGAAATAACTGGAAACCATACCCGAACCTGATAAGGACTTTCGGGTTCGGGTTTGGTTAAAGCAAAACCGAAACCCGAGAAACCGAATGACTACGAATACGGGCTGAGTTCTATTCCTTGGAGGTTTTCAGACGGAACCCGAAAACCCGATAAACAAAATTGAACCCAAAACTGAAAAACCCAAAACCCGAAACAAACCCGAACCCGAAAAACCAAAAATGTATCTAATCGGGTCGGTTTCGCTAACAGAGATGTCGACCACCAGCTTGCTTCACGTTTCTTCATGCAATGCATTATTACATAAATCATCTTCGCTAAAGAAAATATACTTATCAGTTATCATAACCCATATGAAAGTTGATTTTGTAGTCAATCTTTTATGGGAATTAAACACTCGACATAAAACCATCTCATATAAAATCTATAATTAACTTTTTTAAGTTATGAAGTAAAACAATTCATGACACATAGTCTTATGATTTAACTAAGTGATTGTGTATTCGAATCTCCACGACTCTAAATATCAACAAATAAAAATTGATTTAAATGCAAGGTATGCGAAGCATATGCAAGTTTCAATCTCATAAATTGGCTATCATTTAAGGGAACGTGTAAGAGAATAGTACAAAATCCATAATTAATCTTCTCCTAATAAATCAAATTGTTTATGAATTTTTTTTTCATTAGGAAACTTTTCTAATTTTGTACCAATTACATTGAATGAGACAATGGGCTGGAAGTTTGGTACCGATATTTGGGATATACCAAATACTGTACCAAATTTTTTGATATTTGATCATATTGAATACACATATTATTCAAGTGTTATTCGACATTAGGGATTATGGGACAAACATCGGATATATCGAAATACCGAAAGATAATTAGTGTTTGTTTTATCACTCCCAACTAGGCTCTCTCACTCACCTCTACCAACCCCTGAACTTCTAAAATGATCACTTAATTACACATAGCTCATTCCATCTATATTTGATAATTCATATCAAGCTCATGTTGTTACATGTGGTATGTCTATGGGCCGCTTATTTATCTCATATTCAAGTTTGTTGCTTTAGTTTGTTAATGTATTGCTTCATAAGCACCACATTTTTCTAGTTTGTTATTATTATAATTAAGATTTTTTCTCATTTGTTTTTTTTGCCAAAGTTATCCCGAAAGGGAAAAAGCGAAGATACGACAAAATACAAGGCCTCCTAAGACCAGGCTAGGAAAATTAAATAAATAAAACACGATGATCGACAAGTGTCTGCACCATCGCTCCAAGGGCTTGTCTTGCCACGAAATGGGCAGCCCTATTATACCTACGGGGAACGAAATGGAACGTAGCACGAAGGAAAGAAGCCCGCAACACCTGAATCTCTTGCATGAGAGCTCCACCCACCGCGTGCGACGAGTCCTTCGCATTAATCATCCGAATGATCACCTGCGCATCCCCACAAAACAAAAGATTAGTGAACGAGTGAGCCATGCACCAACGTAAGGAGTCGCGAAGGGCCAGGAGCTCTACGAGAAATGGGTCATCAATGTTAGGAATAAAACGCCCCCAAGCGAATATAGAGGTATTCGCCTCTGTAAAGCCAACAAAACCAATGGCACATCCGACCAAAGATTTGGTGGCACCATCAAAGTGAACCAACACTGCACCGGGAGGTATGAAGGGAGCGGGTTGATCACTAGGTAAAACCCCACTAGAAGCAGAAGAACCGCGAGGCAAAGATCTCACCGGATGCTCCTGTGCTAGCTCCCATTCAGCAACCTGAGAGAAATAATGTCGTGATAAAACATGGGAGAAATACTGAATACCATCATAAGTAGCCGAACATCTGGACTTCCAAAGCCTCCAGTACAGAAAAACCAACCGCGACATCTCAACTTTGGATAACCCTGCATCAAAAAAAATCCTACGCCAACCTATCGCAACATGGCACAAGCGAATTTGAGCAAGAATATGATTGTACCCCAACAAATCCCACAACTCCAAAGCAATTCGACAATCCAAAAAACAATGAGCAAGAGTCTCTGCCGCACCACCACAGACAGGGCAAGCGTAAGCCTCAGGATCATCATCAGCAATCAATTCCTTATCACGTAGCACATCTCGAACAGGGAGAAAACCTTTAACCACGCGCCAAAGAAAAAATTTAAGCTTTGGGGGAACAGGAAGAGACCATAGAAACTTCCAAGAGCGAGAGTCAAAGGACGATGGAATCGTGGAAAAATCAGCAATGTACTCAGCCGCAGCTAACCGATAACCAGATTTCATCGAATAATCGCCTGAAACTTCATAATGCCAAATCAAACGGTCAGCCACAGGAAAAATTGGCAGAGGAATAGACATGATGAGCCGTACAGTGGCAGTATCAAAAAGATAAGAAAGCACGTCCTCCTTCCACGAACCTTGACCATGATTTATTAGGCAAGAAACAAATGAGTCAGGTAAGACAACCCCAGGAAGCAAAATTGGCCTAGAAGGAGGGGTGGTGGGAAGCCAAACATCATTCGTAATGTGGACCGAAAGTCCACAACCAATTAACCAACGTAGTCCTTGGACCAAAAGGTCCCTGCCCAAAAGAACACCCTGCCATGCCCATGAAGGGCGCGAACCTGCAGTAGCACAAAGAAAGGAGGAGTTGGGAAAATACCTGCATTTGTATGTGGTAGCTAAAAGACTATCCGGATCCTGGACAATCCTCCAAGCTTGTTTGGCAAGCAAAGCAATGTTATTAGAGTCTAAATCACGAAAACCCAGACCCCCAATTGATTTATGTCGACATAAAGCACGCCAAGAGGTCCATCTCATGCCACCCTCTCCATCCTGTTGACTCCACCAAAAGCGAGCAAGATGCCCATTTAAACGCCTGCAAAAAATCGAAGGAATTCGAAAACACGACATCGTGTAAATCAGTTAGGCCAAAGCCACTGATTTAATCATTGTTTCCTTTGCCTCTAATGACATATACTTCGATTTCCATCCTTGAATCCGATTAACCAGGCTTTTCTCAACAAAACGAAACGTATCTTGTTTAGAACGCAAGACGCGCACCGGAAGTCCCAGGTAACGATCTTGGGGACCACTGATTGTCACGCCAAGCAGAGAGACAATAGCAGAGGCTTCATCTGCAGAAACATTTTTACTAAAGGTAACAGTGGATTTCTGAAAATTGACTTTCTGTCCACTCACCTGCTGGTAAGAATTAAGAATATGAAGGAGATTATGACATTCCAAAGGGGATGCCCGGAGGAACAAATATGAATCGTCCGCAAAGAATAAGTGAGAAATCCTAGGGCAACGACGATGCACCTTCAGACCATGCAGCAAGTTAGAATGAATGGCTTGATTAATAACACTAGAAAAACCTTCCGTATAGAGCGCAAACAGCAAAGGGGAGAGCGGATCACCTTGACGCAATCCTCGCTCAGGATGAAAGTAACCATAGGGAGAGCCATTGATAAGCACAGAGAAAGATACTGATGAAACACACGCCCACAGCCAATCAAGCCACTGGGGACAGAAACCAAGCTTAGACATGATAGCAAACAGAAAATTCCACTCAACACGGTCATAAGCCTTTTCCATGTCTAATTTCAAAGCCATCCACTTATCGCTACCCAAGGATTTGTTCTTCAGAAAATGTAAAACCTCCTGACCCAACAAAATATTATCCGAGATAAGACGTCCTTTAACAAACCCGTTCTGATAAGGACCAACGATAGAAGGAAGCACCTCTCGTAGTCTACGAGTGAGAACTTTAGAGATTATTTTGTAAGCTACCTGGCATAAAGCAATTGGCCGCATCTGACGCATGGTTTCAGCACCAGGGACCTTTGGAAGCAACGAGATCCAAGTGTGATTGAAATTAGGGAGGAGATGCCCAGTATGGAAAAATTCCTGCACACCTGCAACAACTGAATTCCCCACTAAATTCCAATAATGCTGAAAAAAGATACCTGTAAACCCGTCAGATCCTAGGGCTTGGAGTCTACCAACACTGAAAGTTGCCAATCGAATGTCCTCCCGGAAAACTGGAGCAATAAGGGCGGCATTCATCGATGGCAAAACCAATCCCGGCAGCAGCATACCGGCTACAAAATCAAAGCAAGGGACAGCTTCAAATTGAAAAAGATGAACAAAATATTGAATTGCAATACCACCCATGCCCAGGTCATCAGAGTGAGC